GCCAGCGTGCTGGCTTTGCCATCTCAACAATGGCAGCCAGCGTGCTGTCTTACCCACTTCAACTATGATGGTAGCCAGCGTGCTGGCTTTGCCATCTGGACAATGGCAGCCAGCAAGCTGGCTTCCACTGCCTGTTATAAGTGTTCAGTGTGAAGTGTTAAGTCGAGTGAGTTGAGGCAGTGTGTGGGTCTCTGTGTGTGCGTATCTATGTCTGTGTGTGTATGAGTCTCTGTCTGTGTGTGTCTTCGACTAAGTTGAGGCAGTGCATGGGTCTCTGTTTGTGTGTGTCAACCTCTCAAGAGAGCCGGGTGGTTGGGAGACATGACTCAGCTGCAGGGGCGCCAGAGCAGCTGCGAGAGATGACTCAGCCGCGAGAGATGACTCATCCGCGTACTAAAGTTGTACTGCAAAGTCGCCAGTTCTCAGCTTCCAGTTCCACAGATTCTTCCGCGTACTAAAATTGTACTACAAAGTCGCCAATTCTCATCTTCCAGCTCCCCAGATACTCCGTTGTACTACAAAGTCGCCAGTTCTCATCTTCCAGCTCCCCAGATACTCCGCGTACTAAAGTTGTACTACAAAGTCGCCAGTTCTCATCTTCCAGCTCCGCAGATACTCCGCGTACTAAAATTGTACTACAAAGTCGCCAGTTCTCATCTTCCAGCTCCCCAGATACTCCGCGTACTAAAGTTGCACTAGAAAGTCGCCAATTCTCAGCTTACAGCTCCATAGATTACTCCGCGTACTAAAGTTGTACTACAAAGTCACCAGAGGGTTACGCGCACACCCGGCACATCGCACTCTCGCCTGCATTTCGCGCACTCCACACGCACGATCTCCGTAGAGGGTTGCGCGCGCAGCCGGCAAATCGCACTCTCGCCTGCATTTCGCGCCCTCGACACGCACGATCTCCGTAGAGGGTTGCGCGCGCACCGGACAAATCGCACTCTCGCCTGCATTTCGCGCCCTCGACACGCACGATCTCCGCAAAGGGTTGCGCGCGCACCGGACAAATCGCACTTTCGCCTGCATTTCGCGCACTCGACACGCACGATCTCCGCAGAGGGTTGCGTGGGCAACCGGCAAATCGCACTCTCGCCTACATTTCGCGCACGATCTCCGCAGAAGGTTGCGCGCGCACCCGGCCGATCGCACTCTCGCCTACATTTCGCGCATTCGACACGCACGATCTCCGCAGAGGGTTGCGCGCACATCCGGCCAATCGCACTCTCGCCTGCGTTTCGCGCACTCGACACGCACGATCTCCGCAGAAGGTTGCGTGCGGACCGGACAAATCGCACTTTTGCCTGCATTTCGCGCACTCGACACGCACGATCTCCGCAGAAGGTTGCATTTTCGGTTAACGCTGTTCGTCCCGCACTCCGCCTTTAAGAAAGAATTTATAAAGTGGAGAAATGTTTTTTTCATTAAGATATCTCCCGTGCTAGTTTTCCATACTCACACTTGCCTGCTCATTACATACTTGCATACGCACCCTTGCATATCATGGCATACTCACCCTTGCATATCATGCTTGCATACTTACACTTGCATACTTTAACACGGGCACTTCGCACTTGGATGCTTTCGCTCTTGCAGTGTGTGTGTATGTAAGTGTGGAAGTGTCAGTGTGTAAGTGTAAGTGTCGAAGTGTCAGTGTTCAAAGGATTTTCCGGAAGAACCCTTCGCAATGCTTTCGGGAATAAAAAACTTTCTCAACATTCCATTAACAAAAACATAATGTATCTCAACAATCTTTATACATATATATATAAATCGAAAAAACATATCCTAAAATTTATAAATACCTTACATATCCAAATAATCGGACCTCGATATATCTTATAACTATTCTTAACAACATAACGACATATACCCTCCCAAAAGCATTTAACCACCTTATACTTAAATATAAACTAAATATAATTTAAATCAAACATCTTCCAAATCTCCCATAATTTTATACGACCCAATATCTCCTAAATAAATATTTCTATTTTCATTTAATAAACAACAAGAAAAAATACTAAAATAACCAAAACAACCAAAATATTCTAAAATTAAAAAAACCACAATTATAATTCCACATAAAACAAACCTACGAACAAATAATTACCAAAATTCGACCTAACAATAAAGTTTAAAATACTTTTAATTCTTTCTTAAATTTTTTTAATAATTATTTTTATATACATATAAAACATGTAAATAATCTATAAAACAATTAAAGAATATATTAATTATTATCATTTAATACTATATAATATTAATAATCAATATATCGCAAGAAAGATGTTCTTACCATGTTTTGAGGAGCGTTGCGAAACCCGAATGAAAAATAATTGCGATAGCTTAAGATTCCAAGCTATAAGCTATCTTACATGATATTTTTGTCAATTTTCTTTGTTTTGCTCGACCACTGAGGTTTGTTGCTCTTTCGACTGCCAATTCGAATCGAGTTGAGGTCAATTGAACCAAGCCAAAGTCACATGGGATATACGGCCTCTTTGCTGTCCAAAGACACAGATGTATTTTTTTAAATCCTTTTGGAGATCCAAGGTCTGAAGTTTAAGGTGTGGGTGGCTGACCCTGACCTTCGGCGAGCCGATCGCCAACCCACAGGATGGTGTAAAGCACCAGGATGGAACCAATAATGACCTGCAGGCGGCTATGATCTTTCGGTGCAAAACCAGTGAAAATCGAAAGAACCCTCTGTTGTAAACTCTACTCTCTGGCCAAACGTGCCGGGCTGACAAACGGCACTGTGAAGTAGTCTGCTTCTGGAGTCAACAGCCTTAGTTGACTTTTTATTCTCGCAACCAGCTGAGCGGCTGACCTGAATGAACATTCTTGAATTCTGAGGCACCAGGCCAGTCATCAAAATTGAAGTTGGGATCCCAAAATGCTGGAATAATTGTTCCAGCAGACTCAGGGGCACTCTCCACTGGCACAGCTTGAGGCACCTCTGCTGGCGCAACCTCCACAGCTGGCGCAGCTTGAGGAACCTCTGCTGGTGCAACCTCCACAGCTGGCGCAGCTTGAGGAACCTCATCATCAGCTCGCACAGCTTGAGAAACCTCAGAGTACATCTCCACACGCGAACGCTCAAGAAGCCTTCTTGCTTGGCCAGTCTTCTGTCTAGGAGCCAGGGTTGCAGCGGCAACTGCAGCGGGTGCAACTCTCACCTGGCGGTTGTTGGGAACGCTTTGAAGATTCCGAACGAAACAGGTCAAAATGCGACCATGCCTGTTTGACAGACAGGAATGCGGGGTGGGCACACAAGGCTGCTAGGCACAGCAAGATCGAGACCTGTTTGGCACTGAGATCAGCTTTTCGTTCACTTCAAGCCGCTTCTTCGGCTGAGAGCTCCACAGGCAGAAGTCGCGACCGCACTCCCGGCGCCATCCCTGAAGGAAACCAACCACTCATCCACGCAGTTTTTTCGCATGACATACGACATACGCTTTGAAAATGAGAAAACCTGCACCAAACATGTTTCTTTCTGTCCCAAACATGTCCGTGTAGGCCTCCTGTGATTGCGATGGCTACAACAAAACCGATGAGCTGAACAAAGGAACAGCAAGGCAGGAAGCAAAAATGCAACTAAGCTTCTGTGATGCGCTTGATCTTTCAGACAAACTACTTGTCAGGTTTCTTGATCTAAAGTCAAGAATCGGAAGTGCGCAACAAGCATGCTCCATTTTCCAGAAAGTCGCAAGCTTGAAAAGCACTCTCTTAGGAAGTGCACATGTTTCGCCAATCATTCAAATCTTCATTCCCCTTCTCTTCAGTAAACGCGCAAAGCAGCGAGAGAACCGCAGTGAACAGGAGCACAATTGCTGCCTGAGTGATTCGCGTTGCCTTGAAGGAATACCGATCATCTTAAATTCGCAGTTCAGTTCAGAAAACTCCTGCAAAAAAAAGAAAGAGTAGCGACTCATCCAAGGCACGAAAAGGATTTTCAACTGCGCCTCCTCCTCGGTGGGGTCCACCTCCATAATGCAAGCATCCATCGTCTTGTCATGCGTCACCTGTGCAGAAAAGAATGACAGCAAGCCATAAACAAGCTCAAGCTCTTTTGGATTGTGCCTTCGCTGGTTAGGATCCCCTCTAGCGGTTTCATGGCATCGGCCTGCGTCTTTGGTGTGCGAGGATACCAATGTGAATACTTCTCCACATCCAATGAGAAGCAGCCTTGGCCAGATGGCCTGAAGGCGCGGATTGTACTCGATGCTGCTTGCCACTTTGAGAAAGGAGGAACCTTCGTTTCTTTGAAGGCAAAACGTAAGATCAAAGTGGTCATAGCGCACACCTAATTGATTCATACGAGGGGGTAGACTTGCCCTTGTTCTCCAACCTTGGCATTGACGGATGCATAAATCACCTTGTGGTTTTCAAACCGCACCAGTTACAAACACAAAGAAACAAAAACGATCTATCTAGAACAGATCAAAACAACAGATCAACGTAAATCACTCACAATTTGATGGTGACATCGCCAGCTCCAAGCCTCACAGCTTCTCCTAGTGCCAGCACCAGCGCGAATTGGTCGATGGCATGGAGACCATTCGAGGCCATACAACTGGAGGGACAAGGAGGTATTGTCCTTTGACGCCGGCATACATACGGCATGTATCCAGCGTGCAAAGAGAAAAGGAAAAAGAAAGGACGAAAGGATGAACACAAAAGAAGAATGGGACGCTTTAAAGAGCCCAAAGAGAAAAAAGGAACCACAAACCCAAAAAACACCTTGTTCCTTTCAATCCTTTCCTCCGTGGGTGTTTCAGCACAGATCTGTCCTTGAGAGTGTTCGAGGCTGGTCCATGTACCTTGGAAGTCTGACTCAAGAGACCAAGCCTGACTTGACACGGAGCAGTGAATACCCACCCATTAATGAAATGGTCAAAAAACGCTTCTATCAGTCTATCAGCTCCGGAAACCTCTTGTTGCAGTGTTTGCTTTCAACACATGGCTCAATCATTGACTTGATCGAGAACTGAGAACACCAAGAACCAGATTGACATCACCTTGCCACAAGGCCGTTCGTTCGCTTGGGCTGCTTAAGGTTGTTCAATCACTTCCAACAGAATAGGCTGTTCGGAAGTGGAGCATGTTCGTCAAGAAGCCACCCCTTTCATGCTCCAGTTGTATCGATCCTAAACCAAAGACATTCGGAAACGCCTCTCATCCTCGTCTCATCCTGGTCTCACCCTCACCCGGCGCGCACACGTGTGCCCCCATCCGTTTCCACGGCGCGGTGCCACCGCATCTTGCTCTGGAGCTGTGACACGCTGAGACTTGTGTGAGGGCTCAGGTACACAAAGTCGCCCAGCAGGCCCGGGCATTGAGGACCCGAGGAATTCATCCGATACTTCCTCAATCGCAGAGCTGCCCACTTGGAGTGGCGGTTGACCTATCTCACAAATAGAACACATGGAGATCCGATTCAATCTGATTCAAGGATCTGTGCTGCGATCCAAAAGTGCTGTGCCTCTTAAATGACTTTTGACGGGAGGAAGTCATGAAGTTGGGAAACTGCTAAGCAAACATGTCGAGGTAAGAACTAGCTTCGACAAAGAAGCAGAAAGGAGAAGCTCGCAGCCGTGGGCTGGTGGATACATGTGAAGGGAAGTCAGTCTTGCTTCTCAGAAATACTTGTCCACCAAACTGGTGACACAAATGGCCTTCAAAAAAATTACTGGCACTCCAAACTTTTCAAGAGATCCTCACTTCAAGGAAAACAACGCACAGGAACCGCTCGAAAACGATGATGAACGACAAGATTCACGTTGGTGACAGGTTGTCCGTCCGCTGTTTCACCTTGCCAAAACCGGTCCACCATATAGATTGCCTACGCATTTTCAGGGCTGATGGGTTCAACCCCGACGCAGACGGCTCCAGACGCAGATAGAGGAGGCGCCCGGACAGGAATCTGGAATTCTTGATCAGCAAGTATAATATGAATTCTAGAAACCGACCCTTACATCGCTACTCGGTTGGAGGCCATCGTCATTGGGTTGGAGGCCATCCATTCCTATTAGGTTGGAGGCCATCGCTAGTAGGTTGGAGGCCATTGCTAGTAAGTTGGAGGCCATTGCTCGTAGGTACAGAAACACATACAGTAATCTTACTACTTACTATCTGGTTTCCCCAAAAAGTTCTAGGACTCTAGGAACCACTACCTCCAAGCCCAAGAAGCTCCTCAAGCTAAGGAATGACCCCCTTAGCGGTTCGTCCTCTTAGCGGCCCCCCTCTGCCTATAGGTCTTGGAGCAACTGCTTATTGTTTCTAATAGCTTCTTGTTACTGCTACTAAGGCAGTTGTTACTAGTAGCGATGCACTTGTTACTAGTAGCCAACATTGTTTCTAATAGCTTCTTGTTACTACTAGTAAGGCACTTGTTACTAGTAGCGATGCACTTGTTACTAGTAGCGAACATTGTTTCCAATAGCTTCTTGTTACTACTAGTAAGGCATTTGTTACTAGTAGCGATGCACTTGTTACTAGTAGCGAACATTGTTTCTAATAGCTTCTTGTTATTACTAGTAAGGCACTTGTTACTAGTAGCGATGCACTTGTTACTAGTAGCGATGCCCTTTGCTCCTAATAGCTTCTTGTTACCAGTAAGGCACTTGTTACTAGTCTTGATGCACTTGTTCCTGCACGCGCGCCCCAAAAGGTCCTAGTAGCCTCCTTTGCTACTACTAGTGAGGCACTTGTTACTAGTAGCGATGCACTTCTTCCTACCCCCACCTCGCGCGCACGCGAAAAGGTCCTAGTAGCCTCCTTTGCTACTAAGTTTAATTCTGTTTATTGTTACTACTAGTAAGGCACTTGTTACTACTAGTAAGGCACTTGTTA